TTCTTTGCTTCTATTTTATAAATATCTATACTTAAATATGTGTACTTACATATACTACTTACATACATGGAAATACACAAATGTACTTAGTAGTAAAGACAATTATTCACTCAGTTCATGTTTATTGTTGTATTATTTTCATTAATAAAAGAAACAGGAAAAGACATTTAATATTGTTCTATTCTCCATTTAATTATGTATCATAGTTCATTTAAATTTGATTCATCTATTAAATTATTCTTGTTAGAATCAACCTTATGAATAAGAACTTATCAACTAATGTGACGTCGGTGTTACAAATCATTACTATTAGGCATGGAAATCTATTGCTTTGAGAACATTTCATGAATACATTTTATATGTATCAGCATAGAATGTAGTTTTTGGTATAAATATGAGAATACAGTGTTATATTGTTGTTAAAAAGGTAACTTTCATTTGGAATTTTATAAGTATTTGACCTTTTTGCTATTAGCATACTCATTTCATAACTCTAGAAACAACGAATCAGTCATGGATTGGAATCGACAAAGGTAGATGTACCCATATAACAACATTAAATCCAGCAATTATTGTCACTTGGATTTTATTACTTAAAGTACAAGAAGATTTCGATTTAATTTTACCAATACCAACGATTAGACAAAAAGACGATAGTTATTACCAAGTTATTTATTAGCATTAATCTCAGGAATCTTCATACATCATACCAGTAAAAGGATATATGATAATGAAAATTTTATGTTGTTTCCTTTTTTAAGAAAGCTGGCCTCTCTTGGGTATTTTTTCTGAGGTTAAAGATCACTGAGGAACTTCTCTTCCACATGCTGAAAGGCAGTATCGAAAGTGGAATATAAAGAATGACCAGAGGCTCGTGAGCTTTTTTTGTATATATGAGTGTGTTTTTATTAATCACTTACGTATATTTGATCATGTATACATAGTACATATATTCACTCACGTATCAGCTTATAAAAAGATTTCGGCAATTAACCTTGACGATAGGATATGCCACAGGTATTCTATAAAGTCCATCAAAACAAAAAACCAAAGAAAGCGATTTCATGGATGGTTTGATTATAAAATCCAGTTTCTAAGGTTCATGCTTTGCTATTCACTATGTACTAAAAACGATCATATATGGATATTTGCATCTTCGTATTGGTGAATTTTCATCTGAAGTGTGCCGAACAGAGAACGAGACTCTACGTTATGAATTCTACTTATTTGGTAGTAAAATCTGTAGACTTATCCAGATCTTGTGAAAGAAAACCAGAAGTAAAACTTCACATACTTTCGAAGAAACATTTTATTGCTAGAAGTAAATGAGATTACTGAAAAATTACCTGACGGTTGTTATATCATTTTACCGATAACATGAAGTCTTTACTTAGTATTTCTGCTATAATTGTAGTTTGTAAAATACACTCTCATTCTTGTTATCACTAATATGTGCTTTGGGGTTATATATTAACCATCACTTTACACACGATATTATTCTTGAGTCTCCTTATACTTAGTCTTTTCTTTTACTACTGATGTTGTTACTACTTGAACTATTCTGAAATTTATCTTGATCGCTTTATTTCACTGCACTAAAAAGGTATAGCTACTTGAACCTAAAGATATGTATTAGGTTCTACGTTACACATGACTAACTGATTGACTGATTTGAATCCATTGGTTTCAAATCACTCAATCTCAAGATCTAATCAGATTAAAACTACCACAGTAAGTGTACAAAAGTTGAAATATTTTCCTAATAAATATATCCATATGAGTTTAACTTGTTGTTCTTCTAATAACCAGAATCGTTATTGTTTGCACAAAACAGTATAAGTTGGTATTATATTTGAAGATAACCACCAATACTGAAATCTACAATACGTATTTTATCCTATTTTGGACATAACAGTTGAATATACATACATCTCCATGTTAAGGTTCACATTAAAACTCAAACCCAATACTCATCACTTTGAATACCAAAAACATCAGCCACTAAGCTATTAAATCATTAAAACCACTAAGTACATCTTGAATTATACTATTCACCATTTAGTAAAGATATCATTAACCTATTACTACAGGTAATATATCAAAGAATCTACCTAATGAAACCTAATGTCACCTGACGTTAATGAAACCCAGTCTTCAACAACAGAAGATTACGAATCCTTACAGATGAAAATAATAATAAAACATATTAACAGAATATAATTTATTTTATAGATCAAAAACCAATCATTTTCATTTCTTGTGTTTTACCCAACAACAACAACAAAAAACCCAGCGTCGGTGTTTTCTTTCATATACAAATCTGTTTTCTTTCCTTGAACGTGTATTTATGAATAATTCTTGTATTCTTTTCTTCTAAAAAAAGTACTTGTTTTAACTAAATATGCTAATAAATCACCATCCATACTAGTAACTACAATAATAATTCTTCATTATTATTATTACTATCAGTATCATTATTATTATCAGTGTTGTTAAGTAGTATTCAGTAAGGTTAGACAAGAATTATCATTTCTGTGTTTAGGCTGATTAAAGAAAAATACGAGTAATTCATTGACATGGGAAATTAGACTTTTATTAGTATTAAACTGATGATGAATATTTTTTCCCTTTTTTCCCTATTGAATGTGTTTACACTTGAATAATATACACTCTTGTTGTACACACACATACATGGATATATACCAACATTTGTAATATACACTATTAGGTAATATAGTTTACAGAAAATAGATTAGGTTTTCCAGGTATTTTCTTTATTATAAATATTGTTTTTACATCACTTAAGGTAAACTATTCATTTAGATATTATTTCTATTAATAAGATAATAATACGAAATATTGCTGGCGTCTGCTGGGATCACTGGGTAAGTAATAGTGAGGTTAGACGTAGGGTATTAGGTTATGATGGTAAACCAGTTGATTAGGTTGTGAATCTTCATCGACTGAGATGGTTGGGCCACATGTTACGTATGCCTGAACACCGAATACCACTTCATCTCTTTCTTTCTACGAACTAATTCTTTCTTCCTGTACTATATCCTTATTGCAATCTTTCTTTTATATATTACCACCTCTGAATTAACTACTTTTATACATCCGGTGTCCATGAGGTATGGCAACTTGGACCGATGCATATATGTGCCTGGTTCTACGTTGTAGCTGACTGACTGAGATAATAATACATGTAATTTTTGATAGAAATTTTGAAGAACGATTCATCATTCCTTCTATGGTAGATTTAAATTAGACTTGCAATTATAATTAATTGTACAGTCCACTTTTGAATATTCTATACTATTAGCCAAATATCCTAGAGTCTATTCTATCTTTGATGATGTGAATACAACAGTTATCAAAAAAATAGATATTAATACCAAGGTTTCACTTGATAGTTTCAAATGAATTGAGCATTATGTAGAGAGTACTATTTAAACTTGTATAGGGGTTGTGGAGATTATTAAGTTTTTGATTGAGATCATGAACCGATTAATGTTAGACCGCCTTTGGAAACCTGGAAACACTAGACGGCCGTTTCGTCCTATTGCGGGACTCCTCAGCAGTGCGCATCCACGATCCTGGGGGTGGGATTCGAACCCAGCGCGGATGCTTAACCTACTGGACCACTGAGCCGGCATCCAATGGTGATAGTGTCTAACCTCAACCAATCAATGAAATTGCGCTACAACCTTCCATTTTACTGAGGTAGATACCTGTCTCTACCCGACATGGATTAGCTCCACTGGTCACGGCTTCTCACTACAACTTGTGTTAATTTAATTTCGATTATTTATTTATTGTGGAGAAATGGTGTACATTAAGTCACGAAACGTCAGAAATACAATTTTTTCTATTGATTGGGATATAACAAATATAGTTGGTTAGGCGCTTGGCGCGAGACTGATAAGTCCTGGGTTCGAATCCCGCGAGTTGGGGTCGTGGATGCGCACTGCTGAGGAGTTCCACAATAGGACGAAATGGCCGTCCAGTGCTTCCAGGTTTTCCATGGTGGTCTAGTTTCAATTGACTCGTGATCTCAACTCTTGAAAAATATATTTATTATTAGTAATTATCAAAAATCTTTGATTGTTAATAGAAAGAAGTGATTTCTCCACTTCTTATGACTCAGATTTATTATTAGAATTTCTTGATCCTATAAAAAGATCAAATAATTTAATTGTTCTAAAATCTATGAATTGAAATACAAAGATTGTGTTTTTTTTTGTAAGGATAAAAGGTTGAATAGATCAATGTAAATCAGATAGACTGATAGCTATGGTTAGTTCAAAGTGAAATTGATCTAAACTTTAAGGATCTGGTTTTATTTATTCCAGTAAATGTAATTGGATAGAATAAGAAAAGAAAAATATGATATGTATATTAGATAATTACATTGAAGATTTTTACAAGAGATCAGAAATCCAATGTTTCAAAAAATGATTGAATTTGAAAAGACAAACAGCTAGATTACGATTCAATAGTTAAATGGTATTGATTTTATGGAATCATCTAAACTTTATATGTATCAATGTATGAGCCTTGTACACTACTGACGAACCATGGATTGAGACAAAACAGACATTTATTGCCTATCGGTTTTAATTAATTTTTCAACTGTTTATTTTGAATAACAGAATCGCTTATCTAGAACTCCACGTATAGTCTAAATAAGGATCATTAGATTCCCTTAGTACATTTATAGTTCTGAGTAGGTATAACACGATTCTCGTCTTTCAACTGCAGTCAAATCATGGTCCAATGCAAACATCAATGAATGTGTGTGACTGTTTCACCCATAAATATATTTAATTCAACGGTTTATGAAACAAATTAAAAAGTTTTCAACACGAAGATGATCTTTGATTATTTGAAGTTGCAGTTTGTAAAGATTTTGTGACATCTTTTAAACTCTCCCTTGAATTACCCAAATAAATAAATGTATCCCATTCAAGTTCTCTCATTTTATTATCTTTTTTTCACAGTTTTTTGGACTGGTGAACATTGCACATAACATAAAAAAGATGAGGAATATTTATAGTTGTGGAAAAGGATACTAGAAACGCTGTGTCCTCCGCAGACTTTGATCCGTTATCATTCACACTACTAAACTATCCAGGTCAAATTACGAAACGTATTCAAAATAACTCCAAATCGGTTTCTCTTTTTAAAAAATCTGATTAGAACTCCTGACCTACGGAGTTAAACAAGCTACGGTTAGTGATGTTTGATATTTAACGATATTATTATATTTGATAGTGATGCATTGAATATTGTAAAAACCTATAAACCTCTGACTACTGGTCATATAGTTCAGAGCTAACCAACTCTCTGGTAGAATGTAAAGCCATAAATTGAAATTCTGGCAAATTGATTCTTTATTAGTTTTTATAATGTCGTAAAAAATTATTATGTTACCACTAATTAATTCAATATTAACTGCCTAATTCAGTTATTTATCCCATGAATATGTATAATTGCTATTGTCATAAATCTGGCAATGAATTTCCAATTTAGCAATAATGCCAAACTAAATATACTTCTTCAATAGTTGTTAAAAACCTACTGAATATTACAGAGTACTGTATAGCTTTTATGAACAATATAAATTAGGGGTAACAGTGGAATCTAGGATCCAGGTTTCATACTATTTCAGTCAGGTCAACTGGATGTATCTACCCCTTAGTATCGATATTCGCACTAAGACTTAAATTCAGTACTTTTCTCTTCAAACATTGAACACGTTGCCTACCAAGCTATTTAGTTCATATAGCCACTTACTTGTGTACCTGGTACAATCAATACTGGCATTCAGGTGTATCCAACTGGCAAGTCCCAAATACGACAAAACACTGCAAGCTATAATCCATATCTTCTAAGAAAACATATGATAAAATGTCTAATATCAAAACAATCTGGATAGGATATGTATGCCAACCAGGATTGATGAAGATTCAATCAAGATTAACAATCACAGGATAGTTCAAATACTTTTAAATAATGTTATATGTATTAAATAGCCATTTTATAGTGATCTTAAATTTCAATGAATTAAATTCCATAGTTTCTATATTCTTTAGTAGTAGTAGTAGTAGTAGTAGTAGTAGTAGTAGTAGTAGTAGTAGTAGTAGTAGCAAGGGGTATGAACTTATAGAAAAGCTCCAAACAAAGATGAAACAATCATTGAATCATTTATTGATTTATCAATTGACCGTGATAAAACTATTTGACATGATCATAATGTTATCTTTTGTTTTCGTCTTACTGTTGAATTAGTTCAATATTACATTCATGAAGGGATTCATTACTGATCTTATCCATTATGATAAATTCTTTTGTTTTTTTTTTGTTTTCTAGTAAAATGAGTCATATAAGTAACTTTCCATTTGTTTAATAATTGAGAAAAAAGAAAGAAGAAACTTTATTGTATCTAGTACAATTGATTTATGTTGATGTACGTGGTCTCTTTATTTAAGCATAACAATATAGAATTAATGATTGACCACAATTACTTAGTAAATATATATAGAGAGAGATATACACCTCTTCTCATTACTTTTTATACCATCTACTCTTCTTTGTCTAATTCACTAGTAATATACTTACTTGTCTAATATTCACCTACATTACATTGAACTAAACCAAATATTAGTAGTATTATTCTTTTTTTAAAAAAAGTGTATTACAATGTAGAACGATAAAGGAAGGGATGTACATATCAAAATATTCCTCTTTTTTTTGTTAAAAAACGCAACTTCATAGTGAATCAATGATGAATTAGAAAAGAAAAGAAAAAAACAAACAATACTTGATTGACATTTTTTTGTGTGTCTGTGTCCATTTTCATTACAATAGAATTACTTTTATTTGTTTGTTTGTTTCATCGAACAAACAACACAAATCTAGTAAATGAAAGCAATAGATTCCAAAAGATTAAGCCAAAGATGACACTGTCTATACATTTTAGTGAATTTTTTTATATGATTAGGAAAATATGAGAAACTGAGAGAGAGAGAGAGAGTGGAGAACGGGGAGAACGGGGGAGGGTGCAAAGTACGAAAGGGGACAACAAATATGCCCTATTCAAATTTCTTTGCAATTTTTAATCATAAAAAAAATAATAATAAGTAAACAAAGTTTCATAAGAAGTTGAGTCATCTTTTGAATACTTTTTTTTTAAAAGTAAATAATAAATAGTCCACAGGTGGATATTTTACAATCACAATGCATTTGTCATTATATAAGGGTGATAGACAAAAATTATTCGAATGGATACAATAAATGATTAGTTCACTTTTATCTTCAAAATAACTCAGACTTAATCATGCTAGTGAGGATTGTAAGAGATGAGAATATTTGTGTACGTGTATGCATTTGTCGCATAAACAGATCTTTATTGAGTAGTCTAAAAGTTTAATGATCACTTCAGGACTCGATGGTTCTAGGTTTCAGCCTATGTTATAATAGTTGTGTAGTGCATAGTAGACGAACAACTGCAATACTGATCCTCAGTGTTACTTTAACTAGTGTTCATTCGTGACGAAAATTATTTATTAATTATAAACAGAACCTTTACGAATCTGAATACGTCCAGTAAATATTATCTGGTTTATATGGTACTATTATGGATACTAATAAATAAGATTAGAGGTGAAAGTACACATTTTGACTACTTTAATAGACTCTAAAATAATCTTAAAGAAATAGCCAATTAGAATATTGCTAATATGAATCAATAGTTTGTAATATCAAAATTCGAAATGAGCTAGGGTCAAGTTAATGAGTTTGGGTTAGATTAAAGGTCTTGACATAGAGTTATGATTAAGACATTGGATTAGTTATGGTGTTAAGAGTCCGTAATAATGGTTAGGAACAAAGAGATAGAATGCTTCGTAGTCATCTTAATGAATGCTTATGCAGTTATTTCAGTAATTTCAAATTAAAAGATCATTTAAGTTGTTCTTCAAAGGTTATAAATCATGTTAAGATGTTACATATATTCTAATTCAATTTGTTTTATATTATTTTACTTATTAAAATCCAGTCATTTCTTCATAACCCTATTAAGAATCGCTCAAATGCATCAACAATACGTAGTTTTGGCATACTTATCAATTCGGAGTGTTTTTTTTTTACTAAAGATTGGTAGATTCTACTTCTTACTTACCTCTTAGTAAGATACAAACAATTAGTTGGTGCTTTCTGAATTTCGAGATAAATCTCAATAGCTTACACCTTAATTCTGATTGGTTCACCAGTGTAATATGCTTTTATCAGATTAGCTATTATGTACTCTAAGTAATGTACCTAGTTACTAAGTACACGCTTATATACTCATTTTTGAGATATAATATCTGTGTTATGCTTGATGGTATTGTTCGGTTGTTCAAGACCAAATCAATTTACGGATTGCAAATGAGGCTTCTAATGAGGAAATGGTTGGCCGATATCTGATTGCCTTTTTTTACTTTTAATTATGCTTTTTACCCCTCGTGGAGGAGCATTGTCCACCCACCAGGGATCTCCATTGAACTCTGTCCTGGACAATCCTTTCCAGTTATTTCCAGTTGCTATTCGTCTTTTTGATATCTGCTTCTAATTCCCAAAGCAATATGTTCCTTGATCTTCCTCTTTCCTTCTTCTTTCAGGATTCCGAGTTCGCTAACCAGATTGTTTTTCTTTCCAGTAGATTATTACTCTATTCAGATAAAGTAAATACAAACAACTATATCGTTGATATATTATTACTACTGATACTATGTTACTCAAAGAAGACATTTTGAATAATCTTTTCTTTCATACAGTAAATAAATTTACAGATGTTCTACTTTCTTTCCTGATAAAAAGGTTATTTATTCTTAGGTTTCTTTGACTCACCGTTTTTATTTCATCATTTAACGTCATCAATATCATCATCGCCGTTGTCTAACTATTCGAATAAGTGTATACAATGCCTCTGTCTATTCATAACATTTCATATAAATTGGTAAATATACAGATTTTTCCGAGAAAAAAAAAAAAGAAATTTCTCAGTCTTGTGTCTGACGTGTATTGTCTAGGTGTGTGTTAAGTTTTTTCTCTCTTCTTCTGTGGTTACTTTAAATCCTTTTTTTCGAAAAAATAAATGCACCACTGTATTGTGTATGCATTACAATAAACTAAGATATCCGTTAGATAGTATCTCAATAAGAGAGTCTAATTTAACGTATGATACAATCCGACAAGTATGTATATATTCACTATATACTAATTGAATAGGTTAAAAATGAAACTATGTCGGTATTTTATGTGTATATGTGTGTATTCGTTTTTAGTTATTTAATAAGTAGTTACATGAATGTTTAAAACTAACTACACCCACATATATACATACACACTCTCTCTCTCCCATTGTTTTGTTGTTGTTCCTTTGCTTTCCCACTTCTACATCTTACTATCGTCCAAATTTTTTTCTGTACTGAAGAATAAAGTAGACACTGACAAATACGAGATGATATGCTAAACATTTATTATATAGAAATTTTAATTTCTATATATGTATATTCCATGAGGAAGTCAATTGGGTTGTATTATTCTGTGCTAAGCTTATGTTTTATGAAAGAAAAGAAACAGACCAAACATTTCTTTTCATTTTGCTTTGTTTGTTTTGTTTATGCTTCAGATTTCATTCTTTTCATAAATGATCAACAAATTTTACGTGTATATTTTGTTTCTATATTCAAGTGGTATTTGTTTTTATTTCATTTTATATTGACGCAAAATGTATTTTCACTGAAAACAAGTCATGATGACATTTTATCATTAGAAAATTTATCATTTACACAATAGACTTGATATAATGGTTACAAATGTTGTTACTTTGACGTGATGGTTGGGCTTGCCTATCATGATGAAACAATCGAACTATACTGGCTGAAACAGTCGTTCCTCAATGTCTACCATGCCAGACAGGCATGTTGAAGAGCGAAAAAATTAAGAGCAGTAAACTTCAGGTCTGAGGGTGAAGTCATACTGCTGACTGTACAGAGGTATGATGGAAGTAAGATGTTTCTTTCAGATAACCAGCATAATGACTATGCCGCCTTCCCGCAAGAAGGGTTGAGGTTAGAAAACGTCCACCCTAAAAATGCACACCTCACCTTATCCCACAGACATCCGTACCCAGTGGTAAAGTCTCAACAAGTACAGAGCTAACACGTAAACTACTCACGAAAAG